TAGGAGATACCTTCGCGAACGCGCAGTCTAAGCGATGCGGTCGCCTGAGTTTGAGTCGCTCGAGCCACGTCACTGCCACTGAAGCAGAGGATAAATTACCGACTTTCTCGTTACCTCCACCTACATCCTTTTTTTCATGTCTTAGAATCAATTCAGTGGTAAATCTTCCAGGATATGTCCGAGCCTTTGCTGTTTCAACTGGGCACGGAAACGCCTCTCGCTGCTGTGACGGTCAATTGCCCGCAGGTGTGGTTGCTGACACGTTTGGCACACGCGAAAGGCTCCTTTCGTATTGCTCGCAAACTGGGTCAGAAGGAAGTCACTGGTGTTGGAAAAGCTGGTCGGAAAAGTGCAGGTAAGTAGCTAGTTTTTGAATGAATCGAAAACGAATAACAAAATGGAGGTAGCAGTTCCTCATCTTTTGGCACAAGCGCAGGCAACTGCATCTGCAGACCTCAAATCCTCCTGCATTCCGCGCATTTCAAATCAAAGGAAAAAGAACAATGATGCATTTTTTAGTGTAATCAAGACATTGGGATTCAAAACATCTTAGGCACACATGTAGACATTGAAGCATAGAGTGGGGTTGAATTCAATGAGTATAGGAAAGCTCTATCTTTAATCAAGGGCAGAACACTGATATCAGCTATTTCGAGGTGCTCAAGCGTTTCAAGCTATTACAAAATGTGTATATTAGTTTCAAAATTCGATGTTTTTTGACGCCACGTAATCTTGTAATGGGCTATAGTTTACAGAAATCGTTGAGGTAGAGCCTTTTAGTGCTTTTTGAGGCAGATCTGAGACTGTTGTAAGGAACTTATCCACTAAACCAACCTGAAAGGTCATGCGAAATAAAACACAGAATTACACCTTGCACAGAACATCGTATAACCGCTCAAACATTGGAACGCTAGAAGATTTATTAGAATTTAACTTTTTTACATGAAATGCCTCGTTCGGTCAGAAACCTGTGAAAACGAATTAATCAGGCCTGGACAATGGATACCAGTGGCGGGCCAAGC